CCATGGGATAAGAAGCAGAATAAAAGGCAATGGCTGGGAAAAGGGGGTGCACCTGCAGGAGACCTGGGAAAAGCTATCAGAACAAAGCAGGGCCCTGAAGAGAGGACTGGTTAAACTCCTGGGTCTTTGCACAAGCTCCTCTACCTGAAAAGCCACCCCTGCACAAGCCAACTGGCCAGTGCCCGCTCCATCAAGGTACAGCCCAGGCAGTCTCCTAGGAAACAGTCCCAGCCTGCTCTCCTCCCCAGAGCCGACCATCACCCTCTAGGCTTCCCAGAGCCTCTGGGGCAGGAGCAGATGGTGGGAAGATCAAGGCCTTGGAGCTGGACCAGCTGGCTCTCACATGTCACGTGGGCAGCTGCTCTTTGGACACCTCGGTCTCCTCAGCTGTCAAATGGAATAATCACTACTATGCAGGGAGGCTATGGTCCATGAAGGTCGTCACGTGCTGTCTTGCGTACAAAGCCTGTGACTCACAACGAGCGCTCACTAAGTAGAAGGTATCTGTTGTCTTAGTCCTTACCACGTTGGACATCATGATCTGTTTTTGTCTATTTCTCTCGCCCTGCCCACGAGCCCTTTTAGCTGACAGTTCTCTTGGTCTCAGCCTCACCGGTGGCTGACAGAGCCTGGCACATAGTAGGTACTCAGTGAAATTAGAGTGAAGGAACTCAAGAGCTTGGTGAGGTGGTTGTGTTTGGGGTTGACCTGTAAGAGGAGGGGCTAGAGTAGGCCCCGTAGGTTCCAGAGGACCCAGGCTCCCAGGCAGTGCAGGGAGAGGACCGAGGGCAGGAGAGAGGGAGGCCAGCACTCCAGGAGGGGAAACAGCTTGAACACATTTTTCCCAGCCCAAGGTGCTGGGGAATGACTTCTCCACTGAACTGCGACCTCAGAGCCACATATCGTCTTTGAACTGTCAGGCAACCCCCAGCCCTGTCACTCCCCATCTAAGCTGGGTGAAAAGTGAAACCCCAGCCCTGCCCTGGAGCAGTCCCCATGCAGACTCAGCCTGCCTCTGTGCCTGGGTTTATTTGTGTGGGCTGGTCGGCTCTCCTAGCTCCACACAGCCAGCCCTCCCCGATGCCCCCCACATGATGGCCCTCTACCCCTCACACAGAGTCCAGCCCTGCAGGGCAGATGTTTTCACTCCCGTTTTTTTTGTTTGTTTGTTTGTTTGTTTGTTTGTTTGTTTCAGGGGGAAGTCAGGGCTTAGAAAAATGAAGGAACCTGTCTGAGAACGAGTGGCATCACTCATAAGCAGCAGAGCCGGGGTTCAAATGCAGCATCAGCTGACTCAGGATTCAGGGTGGCGGGCAGCAGTAGGAGTTGGGCATCCCAGCTCTTTAACCTTCTACCAGCAAACACAGAGCTTGCAGACCCCCTGAGCCTGTCTCCTGGCCAGAAGACCTGAGAGCTCCACAACTCCACCAGCTAAACCAGAGCTCATTCCTGATGGTAGATTCAGTATCTAACCAGGGCTCCACACCAGGAAGTGCTCAGTTAATGTTTGTTGACTGACTAAATGAATGAATTCTCAACTCTTCCTAGATTGTCTCTGAAAGCAATAATGAAATAAGTAAAAGTAAATGGGGGGACCAGCAGGTGGCATGGTGGTTAAGGTGTTGGACTCTCTCACACATGGCCAACTGTAGTTCGTGTCCCAGACCTGGTGGCTTGCTTTCTCATTCCTCCCTCACCGTGTGTCTCTCCCTGGTGAGCACATATACCCTATAGCAAACTTAATAATTATTTAATTAAATACATTAATAAGTGAACAAAAAGTAAGTGGGAAAGACTGAGATAAGAAATGTGAAAGATATACTTAGTTATTGATATGACTGTATATCATCTTTATCAACTGTCCTCTCTTGTTTTTCTATACAGAAATTTATTTGGTAACTACCACGAATCAGGTGTTTCAGACACAAGGATAATATTTAACATTTATTTAGCATTGTCTATGGGATTGGCACTAAGCTAAGCATTTTACATAGACTTTTCTCACTTAATATTCAAAACAACTTTATGAAGTAAAACCTTATTACTATTCCTTTTTTACAGATCAGAAGTGGAGCCAGATAAATTAAGTAACTTGGTCAAGGGAACTTAGAAAGTGGGACAAACCAGATTTATATGCAGCTACTCACATTTCAGAGCCAAGGAAGAAAAAGCATTTCAGCCCCAAGAAGCTCACTGGTTGAATAAGGGGTGTGTGTGGTTTAAATAAGACAGGACACTTGGATGAAATACACAGCATGGTACTTAGCACAGAGGAGATGCTTTCTAAATGTGACTGTTGTAAGCACTGTTTGTATTGTTAAAGTATTAGCACGAAAGCGAAAATTTGGTTACTAGCACTTCCTCCCTTTCCCTTGGTGTCTAAATTAATTTGTTTACTTTTTAGGTTTTTTTGCCACAGGGCATGTTCACTCACCAGAGAGAGATAGTCAAAAGGAAAGAGAAATCACTCCCGGGGGGAATGGCCATACCGCAAACCCTTCTCTTCCATTCTTCTGAGATCTGGTGCACACACACACACACACACACACACACACACACACACACACGCGGTGTGATTTTCAAGCCACCAAGGCCAGGACTTAAACCATAGTCAGCCATGTGGGAGTCCAGAGCCTTAACCACCACGCCACCTGCTGACCCCTCTAATGAGTTCTTTAAAAAGGATTTTAGAGGATAGCTAAGGCATTAAATGAGGAAGAAACTGAGGCCCCAAGAGAGGAAAGAGTCCCCACCTCCACCCACCCAGGCCACCAAAGGATAGCTAAGGCATTAAATGAGGAAGAAACTAAGGTCTCAAGAGAAGAAAGAGTCCCCACCTCCACCCCCCCAGGCCACCAAGGCTAGACTCATGGGCATGTTGGTAAATGTGTAACACCCGTTCTCCAGGGAAGAGGAAGCCTGACTTGTAGCCTTCGCCAATTTCTGTGCACTCTCACCATGGTGGCTTTCGAGGTACCAGAGTGAGGTCACCAAACAGTGGGTTTGGACAGAAACACAATGCGTTCTCACCAGTGGGTGCTGACACCACTGGAACCATCATCACAGGGTGTGGGCGAGTGGGGGGACAGGCTGTGGGCACAGGAAGAAAGGAGAAAGGACGAAATGCTCAAAGACCTCTCAAAGATAGTGTAGGGTCTTTCTTCTCCACGTGCTCAGGAAATCAGCCTAGCACAGCAGGACTTTGCCATCAGCCTACACCTCCTTCTCTAGAGCACAGACTACTTTCTAAGCACTATCCAATGAAGTTTAGACTTCATGGGGTTGAGAGGGAGTGAGAAGGGACACGGTCCATGATTTTGCAAGATGCTCCAGTGAGTGTGAGTACGGTTCTGCTCGCCTTATAGTTCCTAAGGGAAGGCAAGGTCTGGGCTGGGCTTTTCCCTCTGTCCAAATAGAGAGATTAGGGGGTTCATTTCCAGAGTACTGCATGTATTTTTTATTTGACACTGGGTCCTTTCAACTGCTTGTTTCCCTCCTCCTAGACCTGATCCCTTCGTGTTTCTAGTTGATCTAGACTCAGACACAGGTGAGGTAGGTGGCCTCTGATGGAGTCAATCTGTGGGACACCCTTCTTTATCACAGTGCCCTTAAGTCCCTTAGTTGCTCTTCCTATAGGTTAAATCAATGGTGTGCTAGTAAGATTTTCTTACCATTAGTGGTGATAGTGAAAACTATAGCTTCACTTACTCTTACATCTCTGAATAGATTACTTAAGATTAGCCGATTGCTAGCTGCTGTGGTTGAATGTTCCTTCCAAACTCATGGTAAAATTTAATTGCCATTGTGATGGTATTAAGAGGTGGGACCTTTAAAAGGTGATTAGATCCCAAAGGCTCTGTCTTCATGAATGAATTAGTACCATTTTCACAGAAGTGGGTTAGTTATCAAAGGGACGGATTCCTGAGGAATGAGTTCAGTCCTGTTTCTCAATCTGTCTTTTGTGTACTTTCTAGTCCTTGTACCATATTATGAATGGCACAAAAACCCTCTCCAGATGCCAGTGACATGGTCTTGGACTTCCCAGCCTCCAGAACTGTGAGCCAAATAAACTTCTATTGATTATAAATTACTCAGTTTCAGGTATTCTGCAATAGAAAATGAACTAAGACAGTCTCTCAAACAAATAAAAAAGTATTTAGGCCCTTACTATGTGTCAAATATGTAATGTGTATTTAATTTAATTTTCCAAGCAAGCCAGTTAGGAAAGTTATATTCATATTTTATTAATGAATAAAGCTCGCTTAGAAAGGTTACATAACTTGGCCCACCTCTGTGATGCAGTTGGTGGAAACCACATAGCCAGCCACAGTTTGAATCTTTGGCATAGTTGATCTGGAACATGCCAGGCATGCATCTGGGCACCAAGATCCTGATAAACTGGACGACCAAGAGAAGGGGGTTATGGCATGATCACACCTTGCCAGGGGTTTCCCTCTCTCTCTTTCTTTCTCTTTCTCTCTCTCACATGCCCATGTTCTCTATCACAATTTAAAAAAAAAAAAGAAAAGAAAGAAAGAAAAAGTAGGTTATATAACTTGGCTGAAGTCACATGGCCAGTAGGTGACTCAGCCAAGATTTGAACCCAGGTGTATCTGTGTCCAATACTCTATTTTCACATTGTTAGGTTAAAAAAAATCAATATAATTCTGAGAGAGTGGATAAAGGCTGAATATATTAGTTTTCTACATATCAAATTGCCACAAATTCACCAACTTATAGCAGCACCCATTCATTATCTTCTAATTCTGTAGCCCAGAAATCCAGGTGGGTCCTTCTGAGTCCTAGGCCCAGGGTCTCACAAGGCCAAAATCAGGATGCCAGCTAGCTCAGGTCTGATAGGAGGCTCTGGGAAGAATGCACTTCCAAGCTCACTCAGGTTGTTGACAAGCAGTTCCTTTCAACTGTAGACTGAGGTCCCTGGTTTCTTGCTATCAGCTCCTTAAGGCCACACACATTCCTTCTCATATGCACCCCTCCCCCAGTCTTTAAAGCCAGAGCAGACAGCAAGTCCTCACACTTCAACTGTCTTTAAGGTCCCTTCCTTTTGCCTCTCTCTGACAATTCTCTTCTGCTGCCTACTGGAGAAAGCATGCTGTTTTTTAGGGCTCATGTGATTCCATTGGAGCCACCCAGATAATCCGGGTTAACTTCCCTATCTTAAGGTCAACTGTAGCATATAACATAATGTCATCACAGGAGTGATGTCTCATATTCACAAGTTCCAAAGATTAGAGCAGGACATTCTGGGAGTCCATTTTCCATTTTGCCCACTACAGTAGGTAAGCTTGGTAGCAATGGAGATACCAGGGCATTCTTCAGTGGGTAAGACTGGGATGAAGAAGAGCCACCCCTGGAGATCTTGAACACTCAGAAAACACTGTGGAGACGCTGGATGGTCAAAGGGCAAGAACGTAGAGAAGGAGGCAGGGCCTCTGGTGCGGTAAGAAATGGAAAATAGGGAGGCAGAAAAGAAAGATAGACAAGCTAACAAAAAAAATGCAGCATTCCATCTGTAGAGAAGCTGAAGCTTCCATTGTTTCCTTTCAGTGGCTCCCAGAGGATTCTAGGCAAACGTGTGTGAAATTAAGTGGTATGGGCTGCTCATTTCCCAAGGAATAGGTCAGGCTAAGATTCATTAGTAGGTTAGGAAAGACTAAGTTGGGACGAGTTAGAGGAGATCATACAGGTTGAGTTGGAAATAACATAACATAGCTTGTTTAAGTTAAGACAGTTGATGTAGGCTGGATTAGGATGAGCTGTATTGAATTTCAAGGGCTGACATGGGAAAAAGTGAGTCAGTACTAGATTGGTTGGCACTGAATTTGGCTGAGTTAGATTGACTTGAATCGGGCTAGGTTAAACAAGCTTGGGTGGGTTGAAATGGTTTTAGGATGGATTGAATGAGTTGAAGATAGGTTAGGTTGGGTATCTGGTAGCTCTTAGTTGCAGAGACAAAGTCTACTCTGAGTAGTTTAAGGAGAAATAAATGTATTCATGGATATTTAATGACTTACAGAAATATGTGGAGAGCTGAAGACACAGATTCTAGGCTGCATCTTCAGGACTGGCTCCAAGCTGGGCTGCAGAACTGGACCACCAAGGCAGTCACTCCCCTTACAAACATAGGGAAGCCATCTGCTAAGCCAAGAAGCCACCAGTCCAGCTTCTGGCTCCAGAAACATGCTTGTCTGCATGTCCACACCAGCCAAATGCACACCTCAGTATAAAACCACTGGGGTTTGGTCTCCAGGAAAAATAAATAAATAAATAACATACTGAGAAAACTCTTCAGATAGATAATATGAAATTGGAAAACTGTTCCTAACTGTTGAGGCTCAGTGATGGGGACACAGGGGTACAGTAGACCATTGTCTCCACTTTGTCATATGTTTGTTTCCACAGAGGCTTTAAATGGATGCCTCATTCTCAGCCTCCTGCTCATTTGATTCACTTCTGAATTCAGGCCTGGCATGGGTACGTGACATGTAGGAAAACTACATGGCATCCGTGGCTAACTGCAGGGCAGTCTGGGAAATAGCTTGTTGGCCTCTGCAGGAAAAAAAAAGGCACAGCAGGGGCGCCAGCTGATTGCATAGTGGTTATACCACTGGACTCCCACATGGCCAACTGCTGTTCGAGTCCTGGACCTGGTGGCTTGAAAATCATGCTGGGCACAGGTATGTGTGAATCTGAGATCCTGGGAGAAGAATGGAGAAGAAAAGGATTGTGGTGTGGCCATTCCCTGGAGAAGGGGGTGATTTCTCATTTTCCCTCTCTCTCTCTCTGTCTCTCTTTCTCTAGCAAGTGCACATGCCTTAAGGCAAAAACTTCTACCAAAAATAAATAAATAAATAAATAAATAAATAAATAAATAAATAAATAAAAGGCACAGCAGGAGGGAGGAAGAGAGGCTCAGTGAATAGTGAGCCAGTCTTCAGTGTCCACCCCATCAAGCTAGGTGGGGCTGGTTGGGCTGAGCTGGGATAGGTGACACCGGCCTGGGGTGACCAGGTGGCGTTAGGGGTTAAGAGGATGTGTGGACTAGACTCCACGGGAGTCTCTGGGATGTGTGTGCTTGATCCGGGCTGGCTTGGGCGGTGCTGGCAGGTACAGGATTGGGATGAGTGATCTGTATTGGGAGCATTCTGCAGCTGATGCTTAGACACAGTGCCAAGCTCTTGGAGACCCATAGAGTGTGAGTATCTCTCAGCCAGAGCTCGGAAGAGAGGCTGATGGTATGGATGGACATAACATTTCTGTCAGTTCTCCCTCGTGGAGTTTTCTCTCCACCACCTGAGGCCAGCCCCAGTCTCCCTTTGTCCAAGCTGGAACTATGCCCAACATTAAGCTCTGCCTCCTCTGCTCTCCCTAAAATGAAAGCTACTAGACGAAAAGCCTTGGAAATACGTTTCAAGCAGAAGAATTTATAGGCTGTGTCATCTCCAGGCAATACCAACCCGCAAATTGGGATATCTGAGCCATATGGTTTCGTACCTACAGGTCTAATGGGAGGAGTTGTGGACTTTATGAAATCTGGGACCAGTTCTGCAGCCCTTCAGGTGTTCGCTGAGCCACGGAAACTGGGAGCTAGCAAGCACGCACGTTCACACACAGCCAAGGAACGCACTGGACTTCCAGCTTGCAATACGTCTCTGCTCACACAGCCTCTCAGAGGGACTGCGAGGCGGGAGCCATTAATGCAACATCCCAAATGGAGACACTCGTGCTCATAGAGGCCAAGTGGCCTGCTCGAAGCCACACAGCAGAGCTAGGAATAATGTTGTTTTGCTTAAACATCATCTCTTTTACTAGAATGCATCTTTCATGAAGTTTGGAATTTTGTCTACTTTGTTCATGGTTGCAGTCCCTTTAGCATCTAGAGTGGCCTGGCACATAGCAGGTGCTCAAAATGCATTTGCTTGCTCTCTCTCTCTCTCTCTCCATATATGTGTGTGTGTATACATACATATATACACACACATATATACATACACATATACATATATGTATATATGTATATATACATACATATATACATACACATGTGTATGTATGTATACACACACACATACATATATAAAGTACATGAGAGAACTCCAAGCCTCAGACACCCTGTTCTATCCACGATCTCTCTCTCTCTCACACACAGCCCTTGTGACATGGGCTCGTCCCAAGTTCTTAAGGGCTCATGTCCTCTCTGCTCCCTGGGGTTGCCTGGGCCAAGTCATACCTTCATGCTCTTCCTGACACACTGGCTCGGGGTCAAGGGAGGAGCCCTCTGGAACAAGAAAAAAAAACTGGAGGAGCACAATGAATGTCCTCTTCGCCATCTGCTTCACTCAGACCCTCTTCAGAGCCCAGAGCAGAGGAGACACTGGGCAATTTCATTTGTAATCAGGTTTGCCCTTCTAAGAGAGGATGGGCCAGAAGCCCGGACAAGGATGGACAGACATGACTCCTCAAGTCAACCAGCCTGCAGGCCACTACTGCTCAGAACATGGTCTCTGTGCACAGACAACACCCTGCTAGGGAAGGGCCGTTATACCCATTTTGCACATAAGGAAACTGAGGCTTCCAGAGAAGAAATAACAGAACTGCCCAAGGTCGCAAAGCTGAAGAGTCCACAGCCTGCCCCAGAATCCAAGTCTGTGTGACTCTAAGGTCCATAGGGGTCAACGACAGGCACTCCCAGCCACCCACCCCTGCTGCCAACAGAGCACATTCCTCCTTCACCTCTGGGCTCTCTGAAGGGCAGGGCCTTGTCCCCTCTCCCCTCCATCCTGCCTCTTCTCTCAGCCTGGGTCAGCACGGGTGGGGGTAGGAAGGACATTTCTTGCTGCCTCGGACTGATATTGACGGATGGAGTGACTATTGTAAATGCTACCGTGTTGTGTAATCAGTAGGAAAATGTGACTCTGTCCCCAGAGATGCCCATGGCATTTTGGAGAAAATCCTATCCTTGATTTTTCTGGGCCTGTTCAGTTGAAATGTCTGGGTGACAGGGACAGGCTGGGGGCTCTGAGCCACGGGGCCTGGGCAGGCTACTTGCCATCCCTGCCACCCTATAGGAGAGGAGGGGTTGGAAAAGTCCCCACAGGAAGCCCACAGGCAGAGGTGTGTGTGTGAGTGTGCACACGTGCTTACTGTCTCAGCAGAGGTGCAGGGTGGCAGGCAGGCAGAGGATGGACAGAGACCAGTGCTCATGATGTGCTGATTCGACTCCTAGAGCCTCGCCTTCTCATTTTGTCTCTGTCTCTGTCTCTCTTCTTGTGTGCACACGTGACAGGCAGAGGTGTGTGTGTGTGTGTGTGTGTGTGTGTGTCTACAGCCAGTGCATGGGCAGAGGTGTGTGTGATTCTGCATGTGAGTGTATGTGGGAACAGGATGTTGCAGTGGTCAGTGCAGGGCGAGGTTTTGAGTCACACTGAAGGCTCAATTTTAACACTGTCACTTACTTAGTCTCTCTGATCCAGCTTCTCTAAACAGGGGTAGAAGAAGCAGCCAGCTCATGAGGATCAGTGAAAAGGTACAGGGAAGCAGCTGGTACTCAGCACAGGGTCTGTCCTGAACAATAAGTATTTTTTGCATGAATGAATGAATGAATGAACAAATGAATGTATATGAATGCATGAAGGCCCTTGGGCCAGTTGCTATAGGATAGCACAGGAGTCAGAAGACCCACCTTGGCGCCATGCCTGTCACTTAGTAGCTAAGTGACCTTAGGCAAGTCACTTAACCTTGCTGAGCCTCAGTTAATAATAGCAATAATCCCTGCCTCTCGGGTCGTGGTGAGGATTAATCGAAAGCACCGGGTGGAACGGCTCTGTTAATGGCAGGGCACTGTGCAAATGTTAGTTCTAATTATTCTCCACAATTATGACTGCTCTGCAGGAGGGGTGTGTGTGAGCGAGGT